TATGGTTACAACACGAACAAACACGAACAAAATCCCACAAACCCGAATGAAAAACAGACAGTTTAAATATGGCTCCCAATCAGAGACAACCAACGAACAGCTGACACTCGTTGCCTCTGATTGGGAGTCACTAAGGCAAACATAGAAAACAACAAACCAGAACCCCCAACATAGAAACACACCACATAGAACAAACACACCCTGGCTCAACAACTAGAGTCCCATTGCCAGGGTGTGACACCAGCACTGGGCGCGAACTCATGAGTCTCGGAACCAGAGTACACTACTTAGGCCACTGTGCCACAGCAGTTCACAACGGCAAGAATGCTATCAATACTGATGATACATAGGCTCATCGTTTTAAATGATTTCATTTTAAGCCTTCCCCAAACCATAGCCCGCCTCTAGCCTTAACCACTCAGAATGATATCAATGATACAGCTGTATCCGATGGACCACACAGCCACTGAGGTAATCAATCATTTATTCTGCCTGTTACTTGCCTTCAACATATAATAAAACAATTGATCTAAAAAAACTGTTTTTCCCTAACGGAAAATACATCTACCCCCTACAAATATGTCCATATATTCTAAATCAACAGAATAATTAACATGACACGCTGTAGTCTGCACGTAACCTACATAAGGTACAATGTAGGTACAGTACTGTATTGTACAGAAACACAGCTTCCAGCTGCCTCCTGGCGGCAATTCTAAATATTTATTCAGATTAGGGGTGTGACGTTTAAACGAATTTGGGATCGTTAACGTTTAGAAAAATCCCTAACATAAATGATTGTCATTGACATGCAGCCATTGTCAATGGTAGAGGATGTCGGCTTAAATACCCTAATGGCATATCCAGAACCAGACTACAAGATGCCATGCTGAAAAACCGTGATGGCCCTGATGGAGAAATTGTACAATGATTGCTCCGCAAGTTCAAAGCACGAGCTTTCAAACACCATACGTGGCGTTAACAACAGATTGTTGACATGAAGTACGTACTGACAACTAAGAACATGGAGGAGAGGAACACAACAGACAACCTAAAACAGCATTAATACCATCGTTGCTGAGTGAGTGGGGGACTTCAGTGAGGTGAGCGCCGTCTGGTAGGGTTTCTATTTACCACAGAAAAACGCATGTCAAAAATGTTATAAATTGATTTGGATTTTAATGAGGGAAATACGTATTTGACCCCCTCTCAAACAGAAAGATTTCTGGCTCCCAGGTTTCTTTTATACAGGTAACGAGCTGAGATTAGGAGCACACTCTTAAAGGGAGTGCTCCTAATCTCAGTTTGTTACCTGTATAAAAGACACCTGTCCACAAAAGCAATCAATCAATCAGATTCCAAACTGTCCACCATGGCCAAGACCAAAGAGCTCTCCAAGGATGTCAGGGACAAGATTGTAGACCTACACAGGGCTACAAGACCATCGCCAAGCAGCTTGGTGAGAAGGTGACACAAAAGATTTGTCAATCTCCCTCGGCCTGGGGCTCCATGCAAGATCTCACCTCGTGGAGTTGCAATGATCATGAGAACGGTGAGGAATCAGCCCAGAACTACACGGGAGGATCTTGTCAATGATCTCATAGTCACCAAGAAAACAATTGGTAACACACTACGCCGTGAAGGACTGAAATCCTGCAGCGCCCACAAGGTCCCCCTGCTCAAGAAAGCATATATACAGGGCCGTCTGAAGTTTGCCAATGAACATCTGAATGATTCAGAGAACTGGGTGAAAGTGTTGTGGTCAGATGAGACCAAAATCGAGCTCTTTGCCATCAACTCAACTCGCCGTGTTTGGAGGAGGAGGAATGCTGCCTATGACCCCAAGAACACCATCCCCACCGTCAAACATGGAGGTGGAAACATTTGGGGTGTTTTTCTGCTAAGGGGACAGGACAACTTCACCGCATCAAAGGGACGATGGACGGGGCCATGTACCGTCAAATCTTGGGTGAGAACCTCAGCCAGGGCATTGGAAATGGGTCGTGGATGGGTATTCCAGCATGACAATGACCCAAAACACACGGCCAAGGCAACAAACGAGTGGCTCAAGAAGAAGCACATTAAGGTCCTGGAGTGGCCTAGCCAGTCTCCAGACCTTAATCCCATAGAAAATCTGTGGAGGGAGCTGAAGGTTCGAGTTGCCAAACGTCAGCCTCGAAACCTTAATGACTTGGAGAAGATCTGCAAAGAGTAGTGGAACAAAATCCCTCCTGAGATGTGTGCAAACCTGGTGGCCAAATACAAGAAACGTCTGACCTCTGTGATTGCCAACAAGGGTTTTGCCACCAAGTACTAGTCATGTTTTGCAGAGGGGTCAAATACTTATTTCCCTCATTAACATGCAAATCAATTTATTAAAAAAATTACATGCGTTTTTCTGGATTTTTTTGTTGTTATTCTGTCTCTCACTGTTCAAATAAACCTACCATTAAAATTATAGACTGATCATGTCTTTGTCAGTGGGCAAACGTACAAAATCAGCAGGGGATCAAATAGTTTTTTCCCTCACTGTACATTTATCAGTTGTGCTGCGCTCTGGCACACTCAGACGAGAGTGCTCTGAAATCAGAGTAGATAGCCAGAGTGAATTTGCAAACGCAAGAGATATGCTAACTGGATAACAGTCGTTCAAGTTCTTGCTAGCTAACCAAATGACACCTGCATCTCTAGCTGTTTATAGCCACCAAAAAACGATAAGAGGGAAAGAATTCAGTCACTCACCCACTCCTCCATTGGCATGACATGGCGTCCTCCTAGCAGCTAGCTAGCTAGCGATCTAGCTAACGTTAGGCTCTGTGTTTTTAGCTTGCTACATAAATAGATACACTAGCCTATTAGCCACATTATGACTGACTTGTGATCATTGCCCTTGCTAGTTTGATTGTATTGACATTCCCAGCATTAGTTACATTCGTCCGTTTTTGTCCAGAATATTGAGTCATTGAAACTGAAACAGTGCATCCCGAATGGAGGCAGCAAGCAATGTACCAGGCCAGCTGTGATTTACAACCTGATAGCAATATTTTTTTAGACTACCAAGAAATGTATTGGTGAAAAAACCTTGAATGAGTAGGTGTGTCCAAACTTCTGACTGGTACTGTCTATATTTGGCCTGCGAAGCGGTTTTAATGCGCTGACTGAATGGAAGCTGATAATTCGTTTTTTACTCAGCTGGTCTCGGCTGGTCTCTGGAAGACATTATGAGTCCTCACTGTCCGAGACCGAGTCAAGACCGAGTACAAATGTATCTGACACCGAGACAAGAGACACTCAATATGTGGTCTCGAGACCGGACTCGAGACCGAGACTGGTCTTGAGTACTACAACACTGCTAATAACTCACTTACTATCAAAGAATATGGCTACATGCAGCTCTTGCTTTGATCTCATAACAAGCATATCTATTCGCTACCACTCGTGCTGTAAATACAGTCCAGTTCAAAGTATATGGCAATGGTCTATTTGCATATAGGGATACTGCAGCTCTGATTGTTTATGCCGCACCAGTCTGTGTAGAGTACGGGCTGAGTAGTGCATGTCAATGCAATAGAATCCTACTCCAACGCGCTCTGCCTACAAGAAAATCTCTTGCATAGTTGGTTTTGTTTCAGTATGTTGCATTGAAAGTGGCTAATATTGTGTTGATTTGATCACAATTCGCACAGTAGAGGGAAACCTTGATAGTGTTAACTAACAGGGAAAACTCTAGAAAGTTGAGTGAAGTTCAATCTCGTGCTTCTCTGTGCAGGCTGATATTTCTTCTGCCCGGCAGTCACGGGGAGTTGAAAAGGCTACGGTTTCTCAGACAACATCTTTTTACGATTTCCCTAACAAAGGGAGGGAAGCTTAACTAACCCTGTCTGCAAATGAAGTCCTTCTCCACACATTTCTCTGAACCTTTCAGGGAATTAAATTGCAGATGAGAATGAATATCGTCTAACCATTCTTCAGAACATTCCTCACATAAGAAAGTGGCTCTGGTTATTATTAGCTATCTATCTTGCCCATCTCGCTGTTCATTGTTTTCCAAATGTCGTTTTAGCACTGATCAAATATAAACAGTAAACATGTAGAAGAGCTTTTCCCTGTTGTGACTTGGGCCAAATGGGTTGTGTTAATAAGGACAGTGCTGGTATGAGGGGGGGAATCGTGAACATCTTTGTCTCTCCAAGCAGCCAAACATAAATAATTCAGGTGTGGAGTTGGAGTAAGAAGTTGTGATGTCGCTGCAGCGCTCCCTCTCTGCACCTTTAGATGACTCAGTGTGTTTAGAAGCCTGAGGAGGGAGGCTGACGACTGTTCTCCTCCACCTGCAGGTCAGCTCTCCCCCCTCAGGTTACACCATGAAATATTAACCCTCTACCTTTGCATAATTTACCTCGTCAACATACTGAGGAAATTACTTGGAGACACACAGAGACCTTGGAAGGTCTGTAATGAGGACAGTAGCGGTAAGTCTTGGGGTATGGCTTTCTAAGTGCTCTGCACTTAAACCGAGTGAATGAAGGTTATTAGGGGCCTTCTTTACCATTTCTGAGAAGAGAGAGATGAGAGAATGGCCTCCCAATTTGGTTATGTTGAAAATGTGGCCAAAACCAAACAGGCCTACTTTAATACTTTAATGTATTTTGTCTTTGGTTGTTTCTCTTCAAATGCTACATGTCCAACCTTTTCACTCTAATTATTTTCAGAGGTCATGGCAATACTGCAGGAGTCCTGGGAATACTGTATACCTTTTACAGAGTTGGAGATCCATAAAGTGTGTGAGGAGGAATGCCATCTGGAAGGTGTATGTAGTATCCCAGAGCAGGACCCTGACGAGGTGTTCTGCTCTTTACTCATTTTAGATCAATGTTTCGGAAAAGCTTGATTCAATGGCATCTTGTCTTTGTTCAAAGAAGAAAGATTATATGTTGCTGCTCTTTTGTTGCAAGTATAATGGTTCCCGTCATGTGATCCGGGCTAGAATTTCAGAGTGGCTACTGCTGCAGCCCGGGCAGGGCGCACATGGCGGCCCTTCCAACAGATGTTTTTCGTTTGTGCTGCAGTCTCTCTCGGAGCTGGAAGGCACAGAGCCAGAGAGGTGATTCATGACGCGAGCCTTTCCTTGTTACACTAAACGAACAAAAATGTGCTCCGTGTGGAGAATAAACATGGCTCCGGTTCTGTTTTACTGATTTTTCTATTTTTGTACTATAAACCTTCGGGGAGAGACATTTGGAACCTCTAAATGCTATGACACATTGCCCATGACCAGCCATTCTGAGAGAAAATACTAATTTGTCAACTGTTTCGTACATCTGTGCAGCATGTACTATCAACTTAAGCATACTGTATACTGTATATTCCATTTACTATGGCTTTTCCTATGTGGAGGATATGTTTTCTTGAGGTCAATGATGTAATAACACGATAATAACATTACTATCACTATTGGATGAGAAACAATGAACAGAGATTGTCTTATATGTTATTTTATTGAAACCTAAGTTCTTTGACTACTTTTGGGTGTTTCTTTAGTCTCACTTTCAGAGGATGCAGCAGCATCCTAGCATTTTTCTTAGTTCTCAACAAGCCTGGCTGTAGTGTATATGACAGTCTGCTGTTTCCTGGCTTGAAGGAGTGGCAAAATCTAATGGATTCAAATACTGAATCTATAAAACTTCTCTGGCCTCTCTCTTGCCTCCTTACTACACGTTAAAAAATGGAGGATGAGACCACTGACACTGTGATATAGCATCGATAGGGAGATTGATGATTATCAGCATTGATCATCTGCCATGGCTGCTATTTTTATATACACTTTGTGAGAACATTAAACCGGTGACTTCAAGAGATGCAACATTGACTTCATCGCTATTTTATTCAATGAAAAATGAGGTAATGTGTTGGTTTTAATAGGGAATGGCAAAGGTGCATGCTGCTGTCCTTCTTTGTTGCCCCATTTCCTAATGGCAAAGACAGTGCAGATGAGGATGGTATGAGGATGCATGGCTCTCCATGGTCTCCACCTGTCTCACCTGATTACACCTTGCTAATCAGACGTGGCATCATGTGTATGTGTGTATGTGTGTGTGTGTGTGTGTGTATGTGTGGGCGTGCGTGCGTGTGTGGCCATGTGTGCGCATGCGTGCGTAGGCCCCACATGCATGCGTGTGAGCTCTTGCAGCACTAATTGTGATTGAAAGAAGAGGCTGCAGCTCGATGCACAGTACTATCAAAACAGAATCAGGTTCAGAATCAGGCTGATGTCAACGCTATATGTGTGGAGCCATTCTAATTCGGAATCACTGTAAATGCCAATATCTGTCAGTGAGCGGCTGGAGGCTGGAGGGTTTGCTGCTCCATCCATCCATCCCTACCCCCACTCTGTGTGGAGACAGCCAACAGCCGCTGCTACAGCCTGGCTACTCTGCTCAGAGTAACAGAGAGAGACCATCGTGTTGTAGGACTATAGCACACCCTTCCTTCCCTCTCCTCTATCATATCCAATCCTCCCCCTCTGCCTGGTAACACCAGCCAGCAGCAGTAGGAGCAAAACTAGCTTAATCGAACTGCACTGAATTAACATAGGCTTCAGTATGAGCAAACCACAGAAGACTATCATGACATCATCAACTACAAACGCAAAAACATTTATGCTGATCCTTTGGATACCATCATTGTATGTTGTAACATTGTAACTAAGCACAATTTTATGACAGTATGTGTTATACAGAGCATGTTCATGTCACAAGATTAGGCTTTGAAAGAATAGGATACATATTAACTGGATATAGGCTGTTTTGCTTCTAATAGGCCGGGGTAGGCCAGAGACAGAAATAACTGATTCTACAAGCTTGTCAAGGACAGTAAACTAGGCTTCAGCCGTATACAGTATTTACCGTATATCGGGGTATTTTGAAATACAGACTATGATTTTCAATACCGTAACAAAATAAAATTTAAATTAAATTTAAAAAAATATATATATATATATATTCAACATATACAGTACCAGTCAAAGGTTTGGACACACTTACTCATTCCAGGGTTTTTCTTTATTTTTACTATTTTCTACATTGTAGAATAATAGTGACAACATCAAAACTATGAAATAACACATATGGAATCATGTAGTAAACAAAAAAGTGTTAAACAAATCAAAATATATTTTATATTTGAGATTCTTCAAAGTAGCCACCCTTTGCCTTGATGACAGCTTTGCACACTCTTGGCATTCTCTCAACCAGCTTCATGAGGTAGTCACCTGGAATGCATTTCAATTAACAGGTGTGCCTTGTTAAAAGTTAATTTTTGGAATTTCTTTCCTTCTTAATGCGTTTGAGCCAATCAGTCGTGTTGTGACAAGGTAGGGGTGGCATACAGAAGATAGCCCTATTTGGTAAAACACCAAGTCCATATTATGGCAAGAACAGCTCAAATAAGCAAAGAGAAAAGACAGTCCATCATTACTTTAAGACATGAAGGTCAGTCAATATGGAACATTTCAAGAACTTTGAACGTTTCTTCAAGTGCAGTCGCAAAAACGATCAAGCGCTATGATGAAACTGTCTCTCATGAGGACCGCCATAGGAAAGGAAGACCCAGAGTTACCTCTGATGCAGAGGATAAGTTCATTAGAGTTACCAGCCTCAGAAATTGCAGCCCAAATAAATGCTTCACAGAATTCAAGTAACAGACACAACTCAACATCAACTGTTCAGAGGAGACTTGCTTGGGCCAAGAAACACGCGTAATGGACATTAGACCGGTGGAAATCTATCCTTTGGTCTGATGAGTCCAAATTTGAGATTTTTGGTTCCAACCACAGTGTCTTTGTGAGACACAGAGTAGCTGAACGGATGATCTCCGCATGTGTAGTTCCCACCGTGAAGCATAGAGGAGGAGGTGTGATGTTGTGGGGGTGCTTTGCTGGTGACACTGTCTGTGATTTATTTAGAATTCAAGGCACACTTAACCAGCATGGCTACCACAGCATTCTGCAGCGATATGCCATCCCATCTGGTTTGCGCTTAGTGGGACTATCATTTGTTTTTCAACAGGACAATGACCAATAACACACCTCCAGGCTGTGTAAGGGCTATTTGACCAAGAAGGAGAGTGATGGAGTGCTGCGTCAAATGACCTGGCCTCCACAATCACCCGACCTCAACCCAATTGAGATGGTTTGGGATGAGTTGGAACGCAGAGTGAAGGAAAAGCAGCCAACAAGTGCTCAGCACATGTGGGAACTCTTCAAGACTGTTGGAAAAGCATTCCAGGTGAAGCTGATTGAGAGAATGCCAAGAGTGTGCAAAGCTGTCATCAATGCAAAGGGTGGCTACTTTGAAGAATCTCAAATATAAAATATATTTTTATTTGTTTAACACTTTTTTGGTTACTACGTGATTCCATATGTGTTATTTCATAGTTTTGACATCTTCACTATTATTCGACAATGTAGAAAATAGTAAAAATAATGAAAAATCCTTGAATGAGTAGGTGTTTCCAAACTTTTGACTGGTACTGTATATATTTTTTTATTGGGTGTGCCACTGCTTATAACTAACTATAAGTTAACAATCTAAGATTTACCCAATAAATTATCTCCAGCTCAGGGCTCCAGCTATGCATTTGGTTTGCTAACTTGCTAGCTAAGAGGCTAGCTTGCGAGATCAATCTTCTTGGTTACAGCAGAGACAATCAATCCCATCCTGGATCAAGATCCCTGCTGACTAAATTTGTTTTGTACTTAAAAAATATATATTATAATAATAATTGCGCCCCTTGTGTTCACTGCCGGTAATACTGTATACCCCTGTATGGTACAGGAACGTTATAATGGTATGAACATCTGGATATCCCCAACCCTAGTAAACAGATGTGTATTATCACATGACCCTTGGCTTTGATGTCAACTTGTGCAAATGGAAACAAAGTGTTACAAAGTTGCCAATAATTCCAATCGATAACAGGCAGCTTATAATGATAATAATCAGCATGTAAACAGATTCAATCAAGCCATCACAATCTAACCTTGCCATGGTGGAATACTTATCACAGAAATGTTGTTTTTGTATTGTTTGCACATCAGAACAGTGCTGTCTGTGAAGGGCACTTTCTGAGGTTATTATGCAGAATACAGTACAACTTTGGGCATCGGCATTTTGACACGCCAACGTAGATGCAGAGTCTATTTTAATGACTGACTCAGGACCCTGCTACTACTAAATGGAGTATAGGATAGGCTATTACCATAAATTGTATAATTTGGGTAGCCTATGCCTATTGTAGCTATGTCATCTCTGTGGTGTCATGATTCATCAATGCGCAATGGTCGCTCTTGCACGCAATTCCATCTGCAGCCATGGCTGACTCAATGTTAACATGATGTGGCCTTACCTCTTCCAGAACGTTGACTGTGTTCCTACAGCTCTGCAGGCGGGTCGTGAAGCTGGACGTGGTAGGAGATTTGTAATCCTCTGTTGTCTCCGAGAGAAACTCGGACACCGATATTTGATCCGGCATCCTTCAGCAGGGAATCACACAGAAGAGGATTGCAAGAATTGTTGACAAAATCCTAAATCATGAAAAAACAACTGGCGAGGAAAAGTACGAGATGTCTAACGCTGTGACTGGGTCGAAAACTGATAGTTTACAAACTAGTGATAGAATCGAAATGACAAAGACGCGTCTCTTCTCGAATTACTTGCTTGGTTCTCTCCTCTGACTTCACTGTCCCCAAGGGAAAAGGGAATGGACACAATTTCGCCCCACTCCTCTCTTATTCTCTCCCGTATCCCCTGCTTAAATTACCAAAACATAAACGCTTAATTACTGTCCTATGCTTAGTTGCTGTAAAATAGAATAGCGGATTCCATCTTAATGTTTTTGCGGATGTTCAATAAAATAGGCTTTTGCCGATAATACTTTCTACAATCAGAAATACTTGCATGTAATCTATCATAATCCGTGCTCTCTCGAATTGCAGGATTTCGTCTATTTTCTTTTCTTTCAGTTTCTATTTTTTATGCAGAACGCAATTTTGACGTTCACAACCACTCTCCTCTCCCCGGCTCTCGTTCACCCTCTCGCTCATCCACCCACCTCGGATGATGGGGACAAACAAGGAAGAACTCTGCGCATGTCTATGATCTCGGACATAATACCCAGACACAGTAAAAACTCTACTACTATTTCATATCCGACCTATGTAATCTTTTATTGGGGGTGTACTGAAGTCATCGAATAATATGCGGTGAAAAGGAAAATGTAGGCAACATATAAAATTCAAAGCATCTGGAGCATTAGCCAAGACATTGATGTTTATGATCATAATAGCCTATAGCAACTGATATTTACCAATTATATATATATATATATATATATATATATATATATATATATTTACAAATACCAATTGACTGTTCTTTATTTAAATAAAATGTGCTTATTTATTGACATTATATTAATTGAAGCCTAAAGAAATGCATTAAAACATAATTTAGCTGATTGAAAAACCTCAATGGTGGATCTTGTAGCCTACTTATTGGACAATTATTATAATATTCATCAGATCTATTAAATGTGTTACTGTACTAGATCTGAAAAAATATCCATCCACATTGATGGTAACTTCCATTGCCCATAATAGGGATTATTCTCTGGTGCTACAAGTGCGTGTCCTGCAGGTGATAGAATTAAGTGCATGCAACCCTGCTGTAGTCTCGGAATCATTGGAATGTCCTCATTTTGGCGCTCCAACATTGAGAAAAAACATTGTCAGTGAATAGAAGTGTTTAATCAGATAGGCTCCTCGTCAATTTACACAGGCTAATAGACTAGAGCAATACCACACACAAATCATCTGACTGAATGCTTTTAGATACAAAGTATCAAGAGAATAGTCTCTGAATATTATGACGTGATCCACTGTTTCACATGAAGGCTAGTACCAACAGAATTGAAAGGGTCTTACCTACTCGGATTCCATAAAGAATCTTTAGAAGATAAACTTGACAGACGGGAAGAGGAAGATCTCATGACGACTGTCACCTTATGACCTAAATCAAATAAATAAGAATCACATGAGCAGAGTTCTGTTGCTCTCTAGACATCAGGTATAGCCTGAGGAAAATGAATGAAGACAACACAACTTTTTATATTAATATGCCTATAGGCAACTAGTCTATTCATAAATCATTTTACCACCCTGGAATGTACTCTGATGAGAAAGCATTGTCTTGCATACATTCATAAATAGATTTTAATAGGTTCATTGGGTAGCCAACATACAAGTTATTACAAAATATATTCTTACAAAAATGTAATCTCTAACACTTTCAAGAGCGCTCATATTCGAAAGAAAAAGAACATACACTGTGCCACGCCTAAACTTACCGAAATCGATGCACATCCAATTTGGAATCTGAACAGAGATTGAATGTCCACTTGATTGATGCAAAAGAGAAAAGGCCTACTTGATGCGCGCATCATTTCAGGCTCATTTTGAATAGTCATTTAACAGAATAAAGAGTTGAGAGAAGGAGAGAGTAATGTCCTCCCGCAAAGGATCCCGTGAAGATCAGTCACAGCGCGGGGCAGGAAGGGAGAAACCAAACCCACCATGTGAGCAGGAAAATAGCCACTTACAATGAGCAGGATCTAAGAGCTCATGGTAAAGGAACTGAGGAAATACAGAAGGCAGTCAAACAGGAAATGTTGGGATCTGGTGAACAGAAAAAGCCAAGAAGTTTCCTTGCCCCCTGGAGCTGATTTTAACTACAGCTGTTGTAGCCTATCACTGAACAGGGTGAAAGTTATCCTATTTGTCATAGATAACCACATACATTTCCTTGTTGAAATCAATGTTTAATTTTACAATACCTTAAAGTTTATTGTTGAAAAAGGTTTTACAAAAGGTTGAGGACATTATATTCTTCATATTGTTCAACAAAAACATTTGGAATCTTCCCTCTTCTGCCCTCCAGTTACCCTCAGACTGGGGCTCCCAGTTGGCACCTCTCCATTACAAAACTCTCTATTTTTCCCCTGTCAGAGAAGCCTATACACGTGGTTGTTATGTGTCCAGTAATTGTCCTGTTTTTCACTGTGGTGACTGTCTGAACAGACATCTTCACACAACCAACTGAGTGACTCAACCCTAAGACACCTCATCTATATAAAGACAATGATGAGAGGTTAACATGATAACATCTCATTATCTGAAAAAGTATCGTCTGAAATAAAAGCATAGACTCTGCGTTTGACCTAGCTCATTATGCAGAACTGTTATAGCCTGGTGTATCATCTCAGAGAGAGTTAACCTTTTGCAGAGTTGCATTATCTCTGAAATCTTTTTAAATCAACAGCCTAGTGACCCAAGTCCACAAATCATTAATCAAAGCCTTTGACGACCCTGATCCCATTACACTACTGCTAAGAGAGACTGCCCTCAGGCCATAGGTACAGGTCTATTGCGCCTGTCTGTCTGGCTGGCTGGCCTTCTCACTGGGACACTATGAATGTGATGGATGTGTAGGCCTAGGGGTGTGATCATTTGTCTGTACAAGACTGTTGGAAGAATTTCCTTCATGGAGGACAATAGATTATTATATTCTATTCAGTTCTATTCCATTTTATTCCATTCACTTCTAATCTATTCAGATCAGTTCTGTTTAATTCCATTCCATTCTATTATCTCCAGGAAAAAGTTTCACCTGGGGCGGCAGGTAGCTTAGTGGTTAAGAGCGTTGTGCCAGTAACCGAAAGGTCGCTGGTTCTAATCCCCGAGCCGACTAGGTGAGCAAGGCAGTTAACCCTCATTGCTCCTGTAAATTGCTCTGGATAAGAGCGTCTGCTAAATTACTAAACATTATTTTTTTTAATGGTAACTGGTGACACTGTGGACCATGGGTCCCCCTGCTGGTTAATTCGAGCAGAAGGCTGGGCAGGCTTGCCCGTGAGTCTCAATAAAGTTGGGTGACATAACTTCAAACCCCTTTGCAGGAACTGGAAGAATCGTCAGAGCTCGTGCCTACCACAACAAGACAAGAGATAGCAATTATGTAAAAAGAAGAATAAATACAAACAATGGCATTTAATCTCTGGTTGTTAATCTCCCAACAACCGTAAAAACCTTCGCGTGGGAGAAGAACGTGAGCGACCGCCAACCACATCAGCTGTGGTTGAATGGCTGAGGGCTCAGTCACAGGTAAAGAAGTAACGTTAGCCTAGCTAGCAGCTAACTTGGCTTTTTGGCTAGTTAGCTTGCTCCCTTTAGTTTGAACGAGAATAGCTAACACTTTAGTTAGCTCGCATGCTATTTAGCTAAATCATAGCAAATGGAAATGCAAAGTCAAATTACAGGGTTTGTTTTGAGCGCAGCTGTGAAATTGCACTCCAGCATTAGCTTAGTTACGTTAGTTAGCAAGCTAGCGGACAGAGACAAATATCTCACTCAGTCAGTGACACGCATAACTAGTCATTGACATTGGCTGTCAGTGTGGCCACACTACGTTAGACCCGTGTTCATTTAACTTTAGCCTGAGAAACTGGCTGGCTAGGTAGTTAACTACATAGGCTAGGTACTGGTGGACTCATGCGCTGGCTAGCTAACGTTAGCTAACACATTTGAGCGATGGCTATGGCCTTGCTTGTCTAAGGAAAGCTAGTGAGAACCTCTAACAAATAGTAAATGTTGTTGCCTACTTCTGTGATGATAGTTGACTAGACATACCTAACTAGATGACGTGCTCTAGTATCAAAGTCCAGGCAGTCCAGAAGAGGTGATCTGTCATACTCAGAGCTGTCATACTCAGAGCCTTGACACTACTCCAAAGACAAGGCGATCAAAGATGTCAACATAAACGCCTTGTCTTTGGAGTAGTGTCAAGGCTCTGAGTATGACAGATCACCTCTTCTGGACTGCCTGGACTTTGATACTAGAGCACGTCATCTAGCTAGTCATCAAGGATATCATACTTGCAGCCTGTCAAGTTCGTCAACACTGGTTGCTACTCATGTTAAACCACTCGGTAACAAGTAGGTTATGTCTTTTCATATATAGACTCTCTGGATTTAAATCCAGATGGGCCTTCATCACGACAGCAACATAACCAACACCAGTCCAGGAGGGGCCGAGCCAGAGTGGACCACAACCGTAACTGGAGTGGTCCTAATAATTATGGCCCGCATCAAGGCCATTTTCACCATGGGGTCAAATCATCTCATGTCCATGACATTTCAACTGCCCTAGTAAATTTCCATCCTCCCCACCACCAAGAGGATGAACAGAGGGGTCGAGGAAGAGGGGGAGGAGGAAGAGGGGGTAACGGAAGTAGTGGGGGAGGTGGCCGGGGCTCAAGGGGCTGGAATCCGAGGTGGAATAGGCCTGGGGTTGAAATTGGCACTGGGCCACCTGGCTTACCTGGGGGCCACCATGGACTGGTTGGTGGTGGTGGAGGCTACAGGCCTGGAACAATCCCCATGGAGAGGGGACCACCCATAGACGGGCCTAGCTGGCGTCGAGACCCTGGGGGCCGGGGGGGAGAGTTGGGGCCTGCCCACGAAGACCACCAGGACACCCGGCCTAAAAAGCCCCGGAGGTTCAGCCAGGAGCCACGGAGAGGAGAGAGGAGCTCTAAAGGACCTCCTCACTCTCTGGACAAGCAGGAGAACCAGGAAAACCACGCTACGGGAGGGGGAGGGGGAGGAGGAGGCTGGGATCCGGTTGAGCCCAGAGAAGAAACCCGACCATTAGAAATGGGGACAAGAAACCGTAAAGGCAGTAGGACCGAGGACAGGAACCCCCACGTTGACCCTCGAAAGAAATTCCCAGAGCCCAAACGACGCCAGGGGCCGATCAAAGAATATCCCCAGGAGAGGAAGGAGCCTGAAAGGGGAGCCAGTGGCAGAGACACCCCCCCTGCCCATCATGACAAACTGGGCCCCAGCACTGAAGAGCCCAGCTGGAGGGGTCAGGGGAGAGGCCAGGGGAGATGCACCCCCCTGCAGGACAGAGGCCAGAGGAGAACACCCAAGTACAACTACATGCCTGGGCAGAAGAGGGGGGAAAACGTGCCCAACAAGAGCAAGGAGACACAGACAGGTGAGAGGGCAAAAACATTTAGCAGAAAAAACAATAACCAAATGAAAACCCTAAACATTTTTGATTAGATCGGTAATTTGTGAATGACTTTGTTCTGAGAGTAGTTATCATGTTCATTGTATGTTCCAAATGGCACCCTTTTCCCTACATAGTGCACTACTATTAACCTAAGCCCTATGGGCCATGGTCAAAAGTAGTGCACTATATAGGGAATAGGATGCCATTTGGGGTTGAATCATAATTATTAAGACCACTCCAGTTATGGTTGTGGTCCACTCTGGCTCGGCCCCTCCTGGACTGGTGCTGGTTACGTTTCTGGAGTCTAGTGACTCTCTCCTTTATCTCTGTCCAGGTTGCCTGATCGAGCAGCTGTCCGAGGAGAAGTATGAGTGCATGGTGTGCTGTGAGGTGATCAGGGTGATGGCCCCTGTCTGGAGCTGCCTCAGCTGCTTCCATGTCTTCCATCTCAACTGCATCAAGAAGTGGGCCCGCTCCCCAGCCTCACAGGCAGACGGTAGGCCTAACACAGACAAACAGGCAGACACGTGTGCGTGCAATTAAGCACTGCCCAACAGTCACTCATTCAGCTGTGCATCTATTCATGAGTTTTAACACAATAGTCCTCCATAGATAGCACATTGCTGCTCCACCCAGAGAAAACAAGAGTGCAAATTCTGCACGACAGATGAGGCTACAATATCCACTGTAGCATACGTGTGGCCCCAGTGACCTTACAGTGAGGGAAAAAAAGTATTTGATCCCCTGCTGATTTTGTACGTTTGCCCACTGACAAAGAAATTATCAGTCTATAATTTTAATGGTAGGTTTATTTTAAGTGAGAGACAGAATAACAACAAACAAATCCAGAAAAACGCATGTCAAAAATGTTATAAATTGATTTGCATTTTAATGAGGGAAATAAGTATTTGACCCCCTCTCAATCAGAAATATTTCTGGCTCCCAGGTGTCTTTTATACAGGTAACGAGCTGAGATTAGGAGCACACTCTTAAAGGGAGTGCTCCTAATCTCAGCTTGTTACCTGTATAAAAGACACCTGTCCACAGAAGCAATCAATCAATCAGATTCCAAACTCTCCACCATGGCCAAGACCCAAAGAGCTCTCCAAGGATGTCAGGGACAAGATTGTAGACCTACACAAGGCTGGAATGGGCTACAAGACCATCGCCAAGCAGCTTGGTGAGAAGGTGACAACAGTTGGTGCGATTATTCGAGGAATCAGCCCAGAACTACACAGGAGGATCTTGTCAATGATCTCAAGGCAGCTGGGACCATAGTCACCAAGAAAACAATTGCTAACACACTACGCCGTGAAGGACTGAAATCCTGCAGCGTCTGCGGTCCCCCTGCTCAAGAAAGCACATATACATGCCCGTCTGAAGTTTGCCATTGAACATCTGAATGATTCAGAGGAGAACTGGGTGAAAGTGTTGTGGTCAGATGAGACCAAAATGGAGCTTTTTTGCATCAACTCAACTCGCCGTGTTTGGAGGAGGAGGAATGCTGCCTATGACCCCAAGAACACCATCCCCACCGTCAAACATGGAGGTGGAAACATTATGCTTTGGGGGGGGGGGGGGGTTTCCTGCTAAGGGGACAGGACAACTTCACCGCATCAAAGGGACGATGGACGGGGCCATGTACCGTCAAATCTTGGGTGAGAACCTCCTTCCCTCAGCCAGGGCATTGAAAATGGGTCGTGGATGGGTATTCCAGCATGACAATGACCCAAAACACACGGCCAAGGCAACAAAGGAGTGGCTCAAGAAGAAGCACATTAAGGTCCTGGAGTGGCCTAGCCAGTCTCCAGACCTTAATCCCATTAGAAAATCTGTGGAGGGAGCTGAAGGTTGGAGTTGCCAAACGTCAGCCTCGAAACCTTAATGACTTGGAGAAGATCTGCAAAGAGGAGTGGGACAAAATCCCTCCTGAGATGTGTGCAAACCTGGTGGCCAACTACAAGAAACGTCTGACCTCTGTGATTGCCAACAAGGGTTTTGCCACCAAGTACTGAGTCATGTTTTGCAGAGGGGTCAAATACTTATTTCCCTCATTAAAATGCAAATCAATTTATAACATTTTTGACATGCGTTTTTCTGGATTTTTTTGTTGTTATTCTGTCTCTCACTGTTCAAATAAACCTACCATTAAAATTATAGACTGATCATCTCTTTGTCAGTGGGCAAACGTACAAAATCAGCAGGGGATCAAATACTTTTTTCCCTCACTGTATATAATCTTAATTGTAGCTAATGTGCGCTGATGTTAATTCTGTACTAACAATGTATTATAGATTACAACTTTCTTTAAGATGTAGTGCACATATTGTGGCTAACCATCATTCTAAAAGAGACCTGTGAAGGATGCGATATGCAAGCTTTGCTCTGATTTGCAGAAACAAATGATGGGTGGAGGTGTCCAGCCTGTCAGAATGTTGTCTTCCAACCCCCAAACACCTACAAGTGCTTCTGTGGTAAGTGATTAGCTAATAGCCATTATTCCCAGACAGTAGTGCATCCCTAGTCTTCAAAAGACCCAGTCGTTCAGTCTTTTTGTTCTGTATCAATGGACGCAACCTAGTCATTCGTTCTAAATGTTCTGTTGCGATACTGGCTGACAACGTTCTAATCCCTTGCTTGCTAGCTAGCCAACTACAGCTAATTTACAGTCACGTCAAACAGTACAGCCAGAATAACAACAGTAGCTGCATTTGTTTAAGCTGTTTTCTAGTGATATTTATTTGGATACATCCATAACAATGAGCTAATGAGGCTCGATTTTGTCAGGCATAGAGAATGTGCCCAAACGAGCTAGCCAACAACACAGCTAACACTATCACTTCAAACTGAAGCTGGAAAGACTGCAAGACTTTTACGAACAAACGCAAATGCAGCTACTAATTTGGGTCCCAAGGCAAAACCAGTTGAGAACCACTGCTCTAGAATGCCCTTAAAGCCAATCAGAAATTAGTATTCAACAATGCCATGGTATAAAACGAATAAAGTTTAATAACAAATAGATTATTGATCTCAATGACACTGACCTGGTAAAATAAACAAGTAGTAGAAATACATTTCCTTGTCCCGAATTCTTTCCCTACACTGTGTTTCATTATTCTGGTGTGATTGACAGGCAAAGTGACCAACCCAGAGTTCCAGCGTAGCGAGATCCCACACAGCTGTGGAGACATGTGTGGGAAGAAGAGGAGCGGAGCGGACTGCAAGCACCCCTGTAACATGTGAGCCACAACCCAACACATACGTAACAAACCTCAACCCACCACCACATAACAATCTGTAGTTACAGCTACAACATGAAGTGGTTGTGTGATTGTCTCTGCAGCTTGTGTCACCCCGGGCCTTGTCCACAGTGTCCTGCCTTTGTTACCAAAGCCTGCATCTGTGGAAGAACCAGGTACTGTATATCCTCTTGACCTAATGGGTTGCGTCCCAAACGGCACCCTATTCCCTATATGATGCACTACTTTTGACCAGGGCCCATAAGGATCTGGTTAAAAGTAGTGCACTATATAGGGAATAGGGTGCCGTTTGGGACTCAAACAATGTCTGCATTGTACTGCCTTACCCACTGTTTATTTACATACCTTAGGCTGCCAAATGTTCGTAATTTCTGTGTCACTACTTTGAGCCTCAGCCCCCCCCCCCCCTTCCCCCACTCACAGTAAAATACATCCATACTTCTCTCTGCAGTCAGCCGATGCGTTGTGGCCAGGCCACTGCCATCCACTGTGACAAGCAGTGTGGCTTGATCCGCAACTGTACCGAACACACCTGTACCCAGGTGTGCCACAGCGGACTCTGCCAGCCGTGCCCGCTACAGGTCCAGCAGGGTGAGATACTACAGGAAGTTCCACATCATATAGTAAATAGCGATGACTTTGTCCCCATCTCCATGTCTTAGCTATGGTAATGCATTACACTTACACTGATGCGGTCTCCTGTTTTTCTTAACCTTTGACTTGCTGACGTGCTGTTGCAGTGTGCTACTGTGGGGTTGTCTCTCGGGAGGTGCTGTGTGGGACGGATAAAGACTGCTTTGACGGCTCAGGACACTTCTCCTGTCAGAAAGCATGTGGCAAGTAAGTTCTAACCAGCAGATAGAAAACAACTTAGTCGTTTGCTACTGTGAGAACATGATCTATTCCCACCTGAAGATCAGTCAGTAATGTGTTAGCCAGATTTGCGGCGCATCCTTTTCCTTGCTCCAATCATGCCTTGTATATTATTGCTAGGTTTTCTTGTTGGTTTTCTGTTTTGAAAATATTTTCTTGCTCCCAGGATGTTGGACTGTGAGGCCCACCGATGCCAGCAGGTGTGCCACCGTGGGCCGTGCCAGCCGTGCCCGCGCTCCCCCAGGCTGGTGAGGAGCTGCCCCTGTGGGCAGACGGCCCTGGCCAAGCTCCTAGAGCTGGGCTACCCCGAGCGCCGCAGCTGCTCTGACCCCATCCCCTCCTGTGGCAAGACCTGCAGCAAGCCCCTGCCCTGTGGATCCAATGGTAAGACCGACAGTGTGTCCACATGTATAGTCTCTCTATGGGATTTAAATGTGTTGACTTGTTCCCTCATGTCATTCCAGAGACCATCCACATCTGTGAGAAGCTGTGCCATGAGGGCAGCTGTGGCCCCTGCTCACTCACCTCCACCATCAAATGCAGATGTGGTTCTAAGATCAATGTTAGTCCCCAATAAGAACTGCTGTATGTCTATGGCGTTTGTATCTTCAAATGTAATGTTCTGTATAGACTGCACACTGTTGCAAATGGAGGTGTAATTCTGTTCTACCAAAGAGCACCCCTGAAGAGTAACTCTCTTTGTTTTCAGGATGTTCCCTGTGCAACCATCCAGAATGAAGGTGAGATTTTGATCATTCTTTGAGGGGGTGTAGCCACTGTACTTGATAAAAGTAGATATGTCTTGTACTCAAGTGCCTCATCCATTGTCATAATGTCCTCTTATGTCATCTCTTTCCTTCCTCCAAATTCTAGATGGACTGATTTTTACCTGTGAGAAGCGCTGCCTCAAGAAGCGCTCCTGTGGCCGACACAAATGTGGCGAGCTGTGCTGTGTGGTGAGTGACAGAAAAGTGTGTGGCACCCAGTTTGTAAAGAACACAGTCAGGAAGTAAAAGCTACAAGTCATACACTAGTTAGCTGAATTAATTTGGAAGTAGTTATTAGGAATTAATTGATGGCACTGCAGAGGGCATCCAGATGTGCCTGCCTACTAACTGGTGTCACACTGACATATGTCCCCCCCCTCCCCCTAGGGCGCGGAACACACGTGCTCTCTGGTCTGTGGCTACAAGCTCAACTGTGGCCTCCACCGCTGCCAAGAGCTCTGTCACCGTGGGAACTGCCAACCCTGCTGGCAAACCAGTGAGTCCTAGTCAGAGTTCCCAGTGCTGCTCCCAGTGGCACTGCCAACACAGATGTTCACATGCCAGCAGATGCACAGATGCCAAAGTCAATTGAGTCATTTTACCCAGGCTTTGCGATTCTCTGTGGTTCAAATGACAATGTTCCTCACCGTATCTTACCTTGCTAATAGTCTAGAGCACTTCCTATTTCACAAGGTAGGAAGGCCATTTACTATACCAGTGGACTTAATTTTCACTTAGTCTCCTATTGATATCAACATGTGTTAGTTAGTGTGATACAGTACGCTGTGTCTTGATAATTGAGATCACATGGCCCCGTTAGCTAAGTAACACGCCAGACAGGTTGTCATAGGCCACGTCCCTCTGAATGCCTGCCTGTTTCCTGTGTGTAGGTTTTGATGAGCTGGCGTGCCACTGTGGGGGGACTGTCCTGTTCCCCCCAATCGCCTGTGGCACCAAGCCCCTAGAGTGTAAGAACCTGTGTACCAGGAGGCACACGTGTGACCACCAAGGTAAAGACTGGAGCTACCTCTAGAACCAAATAAATCACCGCAATTCACCTGAGACTGCAAGTCATGACATCTATTATGAGCTGCATACGAAATGGCACCCTATTCCCTATATAGTGCACTACTTTTGACCAGGGCCCATAGGACACTATATATAGGGAATAGGGTGCCATTTGGGATGAAACCTTGGTGTCTCATTATAGTGCCTGAGAATGTTTATTCCTCATCCTCTGTCTCATACTGTCTGTCTATGTCCTCAGTGTTCCATAATTGCCACAGTGAGGAGAAGTGCCCACCCTGTACTTACCTCACTCAGAAGTGGTGCATGGGAAAGCATGAGGTAACTTTGCCGATATTAGCCTATTGGCTGCATCGACCTAACCTTCAAACCTGTTTCCCTTTGAAATTATAGGCTGTCTCCTAAATGGCACCCTATGCCCTTTATAGTGCACTCCTTTTGACCAGAGCCCTATGGGCTGTAGTCAAAAGTAGTGCACTATATAGGGAATAGGGTGCCATTTGGGACATAGCCATAGTCATGACACGACACTTCACTAAAGCCTTCTCCTCTTCACCTCGCCCCCCCGCAGCGAAGGAGCAACATCCCATGCCACCTGCAGGACATCTCCTGTGGCCTGACCTGCAACAAGGTGCTGGTGTGTGACCTCCACCGCTGCCGCCGCATCTGCCACCGTGGAGAATGTCTGGCCGAGGGCGCCTGCCGCCAGCCCTGTGTGCTGCCCCGCGCCGACTGTGGCCACCCCTGTAACGCCCATTGCCACAAGGGCACCAGCTGCCCGCGCAACACCTGCACTGCCAAGGTACAGAAAGCTAAATGTTCAACCAGCTGACTAAAGGGATTTTATCCTGGGTAAATAAATCAAAAATATGTGGCCCCTGTGTTATAGAGAGACTGCACTACATTTAGGGTGACATTCTGACAGTAAACATATGGATAACTTCCCAAGAAATGACTAACTCTTCAAATACTCGGCACATGGGTCAGACGTGGAGATACAGGCAGCAGTGTTGGACTGCAATAGAAGTCTTCTTGTGGCCAGGGTTTTATTTCCGTTTCCACGTCTGTCCCACAGGTGGCGCTACAGTGTGACTGCGGCCGGAGAAAGGAAACGGTAGTGTGCACGGAGGCAGCCAGCGCCCATCAGAGGTGTGCGTGCGTCCTTATGTGCCTGTACAGTAGAATCAAACAATGGTTTAGAACTACCTTGAATGCGTGCTCTAAACCAGAGTTTTCACTTATTCCATGTGCACTTTTCCAAACTTGACTGTGCATGTGGTGCCAGGCAGTGGTTCCTTGGTATAACAGTATGTGTGTCCCCTGTGCTATAGGTATGCAGCCATTGCCATGGCCAGTAAGCTGTCTGACATGCAGCTGGGTGACTCTGTAGACATCGGTCTCATCACTAAGAAGGAGATGAAACAGACAAAGTAAGATGGGACCAAACCTGACTCAAAGCTGATATGACATACAATACGTAGTTATTTACCTTGTACAAAATATGTGTTCCATTTCCAGCTCATTTGAATGTCTCTGTGTGTTCCGTCTCAGGTTGGAGTGTGACGAGGGGTGTGCTGCACTGGAAAGGAACAGGTCAGTTGTCGCACAGCTATTGTCGCATTTTGCGACCCTTTGACTTGGCTGTAATTGTGATTTGGTCAAACAGTAAAGTGCTTTATCCTTATGATTCCTGTAATGCAAGTGTCTGCCCAGCCCCTGTGCCTGTTTCGCTAGGGCCTGCTGCTGTGATGAGTTAGCCACTCTCCCTCTTCCCTGTTGTGTGCTCCAGGATTTTTTTTAAATAATCAAATTGCAGGAAAAACACAGCTTTGGAAGCAACTACTGTTGAAACTGTCAAATAGAGGATGACCTCAGCTTTCTGTGGGTATAAATTATTTTGTTCAACTTTTAAAATTGAGCTCAATAGCGACTATTTTACAACCAATCACAAGATGTTTGATATAAGGAGCGTGCGAAATGCGTATCGGCCCTTGAGTGCATAGGGTAGTAGGCTACAATTACAACAACAAAAATTGGACATTACATTTACTGATAGATTAATACATGACTACTAGCACTGGGTATTATATTTAGTGTTGGTGATCTAATGTCTTATGAGTTTTCACTTCCTTGTGGTGAATTAGCCCCAAATAAATTAGCCTATGGTATTAGTTCACATAAAGATGTAGGCAAATTAATCTATTGAACAACAAAATTCTGAAAATTCTGGAGTCCTATTTTAAGAGTAAAATATAACAATATCCTATTGTCAACCCACAATTCATGACAATCACTTATTTCTTGAATAGCCCACTTGATAGCACATTGCTTTAGGCTGTCAAATTGATTTGTTTTCTTAAATGTGCAGTCAACTTCAGAGCCTTTTCCTGTTCTAGTCTTCTTGTTCTAGTGGACCTTTGTGTCTGCCCATGTTTTCTGACCTAAGTTGTGTGTATGTGTCCCCACAGGCAATTGGCTGAGGCCCTGCAGATTGACCCATCAGTGGACCCCTTCAACATCCGCTCCTCCTCCTCCACATATAGTGACAGCCTCAGAGTAGATGCCAGGTGGTTTACCAATACATAGAAATGTATTTTCACTGCATGCCAAGCTCTGAGTCCACCACAAGGAGTTCTGACAAAGTTCTCAGATATTCTAGTCTTAGTGTGCATGTTGATATGGGGCTTATATTTCCTCATTTGAAGGCTAATCGATGGCACCGATGTACTTCCAGCCACTACCGGTGCCCTTTGAGACACGTTTTCACATTTTCATTGACGGATCATCTTTACCACAACATAACGTTATTTATCATTTTTCCAACTTTAGAAAAGATCTGAAGTTTGTCAGCGAGATTGAAGAGGAGATCAAGAATCTGGTTGAGCTGGCCAGCAAGGTAAGGGACAAATAGACATGGGCTGTGTGCAAAATGGCCTGTGTGCAAAATGGCACCCTATTCCCTATAATACTGCACTACTTTTGAACAGAGCCCTATGGTCCCTGGTCAAAAGTAGTGCACTAAATGGGGAATAGGGTGCCATTTTGCACAGAGATGGGGTGATTTTCACACAGAATTAAAGCACAGGGACAAGAATAAACACGCCTCTTTGGCATGAAATGTCACCCACCACTTAAACTGAGCACAGTGTGTATTATTTAAGAGCAGTTAGATGTAATGGTGTTAGATTTAAATACTTTATACAGGGCCAGCATTTCCCTATACATGACTGTGTTTCCCTAAAACACTACCAGCTTACCAGAGGACCTTCAGTTTGCATAGTCTGAATTGAACTTAAAGCTTCTGGTCCCCTTAGTTGAAGGAGTGCAGGAAAGGCTTGAAACATTTGAATGCCCTTGGGTATTACGATGGGTATTGATCATGTTAATGAAAAGTTATATTTGTCGTTGGTTATCCCTTTGGTTCTGAACATTGGAAAATACTACTTTAGTCAGCATAACGTCAAGTGAATCGGCTCCGGTAGCTTGCAGTATTTATTAGGTCAAAATGTATTTATTTAAACCTTATATCAAACAGTAACTCTGAACAATCTTTCATAGTGGAAACAAAGTCTTTTGAGTGACTGGTGTGTGTGTGTGGAACCCGTTTGCAGGGTAAACAGTCCAAGAGGAGCCACTGCTTCCCCCCCATGAACAGAGAGCACAGGAAGATAGTCCACGAGTTGGCTGAGGTCTACAACGTAGAGAGCGTGAGCTACGACAGCGAGCCCAAACGCAACGTGGTCATCACCGCCATCAGGTAACGCCTCCACGTGCGCGTTACAATCTATGACGATGTTGTAGCTTTGAAAAGACTACGTAATTACTGTCTGTGCAACCGTGTCAGCAGGGTATATTTTGTATGAAGGGATGTGTATTGTGAACAATTCAGACAAAGTGCTGTGCCTCTGCCATTCTGAGGATATGCTGTAACTGTACTTTTTGCTGTGTGCAGGGGGAAGTCTGCCTGTCCTAACTCAACCCTGACGTCCCTGGTAGAGAGAGATACAGGGGTCTCGAGGGCTCCTCCACCCATTGCCCATATCAAACAACATAGCAGCAAGTAGGCTTGCGTTTTGCACTCACATTGAAAGACTCCTCACTCCACACACAGGCCTAAATTGGACCTTAGTTTGTAGGCTTTCAATGTCCCAATGACTTGTAACTAGCCAGCTACAGCTAGTTAATTGTGGTTCTTGTTTTTGTCATCAGGACTGACGGTGTGAGCAGCTGGTCCAAGGCAGTCAAAGAAGAGCCGGTGATCGACTACTTCGATGTACAGGATTAATAAAGGCCCAAAACGAGCAAACCTCGTGAAGTAATAATACAAAATAAAGAATGTGTCTGCTGTTCGAAGATGGTCTGAAATCTGTAATGCCATCTCTCCTCCCTCATTTGTTATTTTCTCTTGAAGGCAAACATCACTACAATACTATTTTTCGGTTTGTAACCAAATAATAAGTAATGTTTAACTGCCATATGCAAATACCATGAGCAAATCTCCAGACTTTGAAAATAATAATGAATTGCATTTGAATAGGTAGCAATTTTCAGTAATTCTCGAAGCGCGACTACGTTGTATTCTACGAGGGGACATGCCATACCTTATTTCAATAAAGCTAATTTTCAATGGTGTTTTTGATACTTTACTTACCAATATAATGCAGATAACCTTTATTGACATTGTTACACATGCTATAAAATAGAACTACACAAGATACTACTACATAATGATAGTAACATCAAAAAAATTACTTGATTATATTATCTTTAAAGTGTTTGGGTTATTTTGGGCATGATCAATTGGGTTGCATTTAACTGTATCAACATTATGATGCTCAGGTGATGAAAGGGGCCGGATCAAACAGCCCCTTATAAACGCAACATGTAAAGTGTTGGTCCCATGTTTCATGTGCTGAAATAAAATATTCCAGAAATGTTCTATACGCACAAAAAGCGTATGTTGTGCACAAATTTGTTTACATCCCTGTTAGTGAGAATTTCTCCTTTGCCAAGATAATCCCATCCACCTGACAGGTATGGCATATCAAGAAGCTGATTAAACAGCATGATCATTACACAGGTGCACCTTGTAATGAAAATAAAATTACCTTGTGCATGGGACAATAAAAGGCCACTAAAATGTGCAGTTTTATCATACAACACAATGCCACAGATGTCTCAAGTTTTGAAGGAACGTGCAATTGGCATGCTGACTGCAGGATTATCCACTAGAGTTGTTGCCAGAAAATGAAATGTTAATTTCTCTACCTTAAGCTGCCTCCAACGTCATCGTTTATGAGAATTTGGCAGTATGTCCAACCGGCCTCACAACCACAGACCAAGTAACCATGCCAGCCCAGGACCTCCACATCTGGCTTCTTCACCTGCGGCATTGTCTGAGACCAGCCATCCAGACAGCTGATGAAATTGAGGAGTATTTCTGTCTGTAATAAAGCCCTTTTGTGGGGGAAAACTCCTTCTGATTGGCTGGGCCTGGCTCCCAAGTGGGTGGGCCTATGCCCTCCCAGGCCCATCCATGGCTGCGCCCCTGCACATTCATGTGAAATCCATAGATTAGGGCCTAATGAATTTATTTAAATTGACTGATTTCCTTATATGAACTGTAAAATCGTTGAAATTGTTTATTTTTGTTCAGTATAATTTCCACTGCATCTTTCAAAAAACGCGCTGCAGACAGCTCGTCATCCTTTGTGCCTTTTTCATTAAACCATTTGCATTAGGAGACTAATATTCCCTAACGGTTTACATCCCTTGTGAAATATTTTAGTGGGCTGTGACAACGGTAGAAACGGTAATTTCACGACACTCCCTGCTAGTCGCAATTTTTTATTTTATCTAATCTCCAGCAGACTCCGCGCCTGCGCTTCTTGAAACGAACTAAGCATCACCAGACCCGGCTCCATCCCCGAGACTGCGTCCCCTCCCGTGCTGTGTCTACAGTTGCCAATGTACCAGTCTACCTAAGGGGGGAGTGAGGAAGTTGAGGAGTGAACACAGCACAGATCTTCAGGAACATTATTTCAGTTTGCCTGGAGTGCACAGACTGGATCTCAGCAATGGAGAGAAAGGTAAGAGTTGTGCCCGCAGCCCAATTTTTTTTGTATTGGTTTGACATCTGTTTTCTGTTAAATACTATGTGCTCGTGCTCACCCTGCATAATGAGAATAATTTATTTTCCACCATTATAGAACTCCATTCTGCGCTGCCAAGCCCACGGCATCAGAAGGCGTATTGCCAGCCGGATTAGTGCGCACGGTAGTTTTCGACTGGGTCTAGTTTATTGTGTACCTGAATATATTTTCTTTTGATTAATTGTTTAATCTACCCTTTCATTTAGATGTTTATTCCACGAAAAGCCTGTGTTTGTATGTTACTGATGCGTATAGATTGACAATCCTACCGCATGTAACCCAGTTGAAAATATTTGTGTATGCATGATCATTATACAGCAGGGCAGGCTATACAATAATTGCACCTCACCCCGCCTTAGTCTCGAAAACCCGACTATAGGTAACACAGTGACTAGGTTCGGGTTTTCGAGACTATACACCCCTCCCTTGAACCTCCACCCCTCGCCGTTTTCACCCGCTGCTGACACGGCCGGCTTGTTAACCTTGACTGGTGTGAGAAACAAACACTTCAGGAGCAATAAGGTGGATGCACACTGTATCGGAAGTAGACCGACAGACGAGACAACACTCCCCTTCTCTGTTTGACGCATGTAGAATAACAAACGTGTGAAATGACTCTCACTCACTGCTCTCTTCTGCCTATGCCCTATGGCTATGAATTAGGTTAGATGAAATTGACATGGTCTGTAGCCTATTTGTTGTGTTGTATGACTACAATTCCCACTTTACATCAAGTGTCCTAAAACCTATTTACATGGTAGCTACATGAATAGTTAGCCTATGTTGTATTTACAGTGTAACATTGGGATAGTAGGCTACATACTGTCATGTTTGTAGGTTGTGTAATTATACAATACACAAATAATAACATAATTTTTAGAGGCCGAATCCAGCCGTTTTTATACCAATATCAAATCAGTTCTGGCTAACAATTAAGTGCCTTACTGTAATGGTTTTACATTAAAATTTATTTAGCTAAAAACTATTTCTCAAAGCAAGAATTTAGCTAGGACTGTCTGAGTGGGGAAGGGAAAACTGAAAACTATTTGTTATTGGCAGAGAGGTTTGGAACTCTCTCTTATTGAATTATTAACCAATTTACCGCATGGTGATGTCACCAGGCAAGCCGAAACTCCTGCCCATGCAAACCTGCTCATTAAAAGGTCCTGTGTATATTGTATTTTCAACCAGCAAATATCAGGAAATAACACTGATAAAAAATGTCACACTTTTCCAGTGTTAGTTTCATCAGCTGTTGTACAGTATGATACAAAACACAGGAAAAACAGACTACTCTGGGCCTTTAACATAAGATTTGTAAACAAACCCCAATTGTGGCTTCACTATGTAATTAATGTTTTAGATTAGAATATTTAGTTATCTCCATTTGCAAATGCTTGAAAGTGTGTATACCACAAACAGGCAACAGTTGTAAGTATTGAGTACTGTTTAACAATTGTAATTTCACTGTACCTAAACTGCCTTTGTGGTTTTTGGGAACATAATGTTAAGTGGGACCAATATGGGTCAGTAAGTAGCCTTATTGAACCCACTGCTCAGAGAATTATCCCAAGCTTATGATCCAGTTCTGTATGGTTGGTGGATATATTTCTCAGCTGTAGTGGTAGGCCAATTTTTTTGGGGGAGACAATATTAGACGATATACTAGAAGATGTATTCAACCTATATTTTATATTTGCAAGTGGGTCTCTTTATCCTGTTAGGATTGTGTTGGTTTAGTGATGTAAGGGGGTGGTAGTTCGGTAGGCCTCAATGTAGGCCACAGGAGGCTGGTAGGGGAAGAAGGCTCATAATAATGGCTGGAATGGAGTGAATGGAATGGTAACACATGGAAACCACATGGTTGATGTATTTGATACAATTCATTCCATTCCCGCCATTACTATGAGCCCGACCTCCCCAATTAAGGTGCTACCAGCTGCCTGTGAAGTGGGCCTTTCCTTTGTCTGTGGCTCAGTGGTGTTTGCAGAGACAGGGACGTGTGGAATGCACTGTAGCTTTCTGGCCTCAGAAGCCTTCTGCATCGATGCATAGCAGGCTCTCATGAAAAGGGCAGGAGCACAGAATCAAGCTCCTCTCTATATCTACTGTATTTTGGGGTCTTGATTAGTTGTAATGTTAATACTCACTGTGAGACTAGTGCTAGGAGTAGCTGTGTGAGATTTATGTCACTTTCACTTGGTCTTTTAGCAAAACACTGTCAACTAGATTTGTGGCTCTGAATGTAGTGGTGGCATTTGTATTGATGATCATTTGGCCTATTTTGCTACAAAGCATGTCAGTTCGAGTGCTATTCGTTTTAAAGCTTTATAATTCAGTATCCAAACGTATTATGTGTTATTACAAACAACTGCTGTGGTCGTGCTGAAGTTTTCCATCCAACGCATTTTGGTAATATATATGCTCGGCATTCTCCCCTTGTGCTTAGATTCCATCCAGACAAAAAAACGGTGGATTTCCATGCTTTAACCCTGTTGGAATGTGTGGCTTCTGTACTGTCCCTTGTGCAGAGTCAGCATTTCACCTTGCAATGTGTGGACTTACTGTGGAGCTGCTGAAAAGTTTTTATTGGAAAATTAGTTGCAACGGCTAATGTGGTCTAAGAGTGGGAGGGAGAAAACCTCAAACCAAGGCAGCAACATAAAGCACTAACTTTTGAAAGATTATTTAAGTTTGGTTTACATGTTGTTGTCTATGTACAGAAGAGGCATGGCACTTTGCAGGCGGAAATTGTGGCGTGTGATGTCACTGTATAGGCTAGATATGACCCCTGAGAGTCAGCATGAGTCACTGGTACAGACCAGTTTGTGGTCAGATCTTTTTTCATCCACCTAATGGTTAAGCTAAGGGCTGTGAGTAGGGTAAACTGATCATAGATCTGTAGTTAGGGGCAACCTCGAGCCCTGAGAGAGGGAGTCAGATGGTCCACCCTGCTGTACCCTGCTAAAAGTCTGCAGAGAGAGATAAAGTCCCATTTGTATACATGAGACTGATGGAGTAGCTTCTCTTTTGTCACTGTGCTGGATGCTTAAGATACACTTAAAGGAAGGATGAACATTAATATAATCCCTCTACATCTCCCTCCTTCCCTCTCTCTCCATCCATCCCTCCCTCTCTGTTCTGTTGAATCTAGAATACCGGTAGACAGATGACCCATCATCCCAATGAGAGAGATGTAGGATGAAAGTTTTGGTCGAGGGCCCATAGTTTTATTTTAGCTCATGACTAATGATATTGCTTCCCAGCAGAACTTCTTGAGAACATGGCTTATACTGTACTTGAATATACATACAATATTGGTATTCTCTTGACCCACTTTCTGTCATTCGGTTCAAGGCATTTCAGATTCTCCAATGACCTTGGATAACATGGGTCTAGGTGCCTTGGCAAGTTTGAAGTTTTGCCATAGGCCTTCAGTTAAAACTTGGACACATTTGGACCCCTCTCCCCAAATATTAGGTCACCCTATTGAATGGTCCATGGCTTTTGTGTTTAGGATTACTTGGGAGAACTGGACAATGAGCACTTCCTTATTTGGCTGGCAAGGAAAGCCATGGACGTATGAAAGAAGGGCCAAGCTTTTGTTACCCAGGAAACGAGCTACAGTATTGGCTTGGTAGACTTGGGCTTGATAAGAAATGCTAAACTCGCTAAAAGTTTGAATGTACAGAAAACATGACATGCTAGCATAGTGTGCAAGTCCACATTATACAATACAGT